GAGAGCCGTCTCAGGCAGCAGGGCGGGCGGGAGAGCCGTCACAGGCAGCAGGGCGGGCGGGAGAGACGTCACACGGCAGCAGGGCGGGCGGGAGAGACGTCACACGGCAGCAGGGCGGGCGGGAGAGACGTCACACGGCAGGAGGGCGGGCAGCAGGGTGGGCGGGAGAGACTTCCACAAGGGGGTGTGAAGCTAGAGTGACAGACTGTCAGTTCAGTTCATCCAAATCAATGGCACTGATCCCCACCCAGCTCTACACCTCACACTATAGGCCTAACTGGGGGTCTGTAGTCAGCTAGAAGCTAAAATAATAAGCCAAACTGCGTTTTTGGTCTAGACTTGAATATGGAGAGTGAGCCTGAATCTCACACGTCTGCTGGAAGACTATCCCACAGCTGCAGAGCTCTGTAGGAGAATACTCCGCAGCCTGCCGTAGTTCCTTCTACTCTAGGTACTGACAGATATCCTACTCCTTGTGTTGAAGGTTGTGAGAGTAACTCTAAGGTATTCTGGTACGAGGGCATTCAGTGCTTTATAAGTTAATAGCAAATAATCAATCCGAGACTTAACTGGAAGCCAATGAAGGGAGCATAGAACAGAGCTAGTCTTCATATTTTTTACTTTTTGTGAGAACTCTGGCTGCTGCCTTTTTGTGCCAGATGAAGGTTGTGGTCTTAATGGTTGAGGTCAGGTCTCCTGCCAAGGACACCTCCAGGAACTTACTGCTGCTGACCCTCTCCACTGCAGTGCCGTTGTTAAATATATTTCTAGTATGTTGTATTGGTCAGACCTGTTATTGTCCTGTAGAATTGGGTACTTGGCACACCTCCTGCAGGTTTCCCTCCAAATCTTTACAGCTACGGTGCTTGGCAGCCGCATGAGCTCATGTGTTTCTTTGTGTGTGTGTGTGCGCGCGCACAGCGCTTCCTCAGTATCAGAAGCAGAGGGTTCCCTGGGCAGTCCAGTGAAGAACAAGCACATAGAGGATGACTGCTCCGTGGAGGCTGAGCAGCATGAGGTCAAAAGGCTGAAGTTCGACAAAGATGAGGCGGAGCAGAATGAGAATGAAGACGACGTTAATGAGGAGCCGGTGGCCAGGGAGTCTGCTAGCCCGCCGGTTGCGGAGAGCTCCTGCGAGCGTCCCGAGTCGTCCTCCGATGTTTGCAGTGAGGACGTGGACAGCAGAGCTGCAGACATGCTGGTGTCTGAGGATCAAGGTACTGCTTGTGTGTCTGTCAGGGCGTCAAAAAGTCTCGTCTTAAATTTCAGCCGAACTAATTAAAGCCTTGCCGATTCTTTAAAAATCTTACTTTTAGTCTGATATTGAAAAATATTTAAATAACGTATAAATGTGACTAACTCTAAGGGGTTTGCTACGAAATCAGTTTAACCGGTATACGTGGATTATTTGCCGTTTTAACGCCAAATTTTCAGTATGGTAAGTCCCCGGGTCCTTCTTACGGACAACTTTTATTTGCCGATGGACTGGCATAAAGCCCATAATTTATAAATAATTTGAATGAAATACAATGGTTCGTAATAGCAAACGCATGCACTACTTTGTGACTCATGAAAACATTGCACGGCTTCAGCAGTTGTTGTAATGTTACTTCACGAATACCCCTTCTGATATGCAAAACATCAGTGGAAGGAGAGTGTTAACCTTTAATATTTTTTTCTACCTCAACTGTTTTAAGAACTGTTTCTTAAATGATTTTGATCGTACTGTATACCGACACACAGATTTGCTCTCACTTCAGTGCAGTACTGTATGTAGTACCATTAAAAATATATTTTATAATTTTTCCTATTTTTTTTTGTGTATTTGAAAGGGTTTTAGTGTTTATGCATTGAAATGTAAAATATATACTAAGACAAACGTTTCACTAACTGATGCTAAATAAGAAGTGTATGTATCTGTTCCGATTTGGCTACAAATTTCACAAAGGCTTAGGAAGTTTTCCTTTACCTGGGGACTGCCTTTTACAGGGAAATGTAGCTAACTGATAGACCTACATGTTGCCATAGTAATTTAGCCTGTGAACCTATCCTGTTCCAAACACTTAGTCACTGAGGGTGAATGGACACAGTGCAATTATTAATAAGATGTAAAGAAATGCATAATCTGAAAATCAAGTGGTGTACATTTCCCCCCATAGCCCATTGCTTAAATCACACTTTACTAGATGTATCTAATTTAGTTGTGTAATTATTAGTCCATTTATTCTACCCCTTGTACTTTGAAGTAATTATAAATGAAATTAGATGATGTTGTCCTAAAATGTCAACAGTTTTGTCTTTTCGGCCACATTCCCACGCATTTTTTTATTTTTTTTGGCTTGTGAGGACATTTTTCCAGTCCTCACAATATAAACCTCAGTTATTTATTAAAATTTTGTGAATGCAATCAAATTTACTCTGAGTATCCATAACTAAGAAATGTTAATTACTTAACCACCATTATTTTGTTAAATTGTCTGTAGAGTGAATATTATGCTTCTTGTTTCTCTCCTCTTCAGAGCCATCGAGCACGCAAACAGAACCGCTGTCGGGGGACACTGGTGAGGACAAGGCGGAAAGCGAGGCCTTGCCTGGCTCCACCCATACCTCTGAGGATGGAAGTGAAATGGACCAATCAGAGCAGGTGGCTCAGTCTGCGAAGTCTGCCGTTCCTGATGTCCGGGAAGGGGGACACAACAGTGACCCAGTCAGCAGTAGCAGCAACGAAGAAGGCCAGGCTAGCGACGAGCCCCTTTCTACCTCCCCCAGCAGTACAGCAGAGCTGCCAACAGAGGGCGCTCTGGAGAACAGTGGCTCCTGGAGACCAAAGGCCTCAGAGACTGTGGATGAGCCGATGGAGCAGGACTAACCCATGTGCGCTCCCACCCCTATTCCCAAGAGCTACACACCTCTGATTTTTACACTGTATCATACAACAACAATAAAATCTTAAGAAATTAAGCAGACCTTTCTTTTCCAGGAGAGGATGGCCCTTTGTGGGCCCCCAGTGAAAGCTCCCAGGGCCCTTGGGCTGTATTCCTTGTACGCCCCCCCCATAGCCATGCATAAATGTGTGCAGGTTTTTATTTCAGATTTCATGTTTTTAAACTGGAAGATTATCTGCCCCCATTGTTTCTGCAAGTTGTTGGTGTTCATGTAAAACACCCCCCCTTACTGGTTATTTTGTTTTTTTAAATTTTTTTGTGGATCCCTTTTTGTAGAGCTTCTTTGAAGGTACCCACTTTTTTTTTTGGTTGCTTGCTGTGGCTTTGGTGTGAGCAGGAGCCCTCCGAGCCCCCCCATGCCAATGGTTTGAGTGGTGCACATAGCCTTGGGCATTTTTTCTCCACCACCTCCTGGCGGGCGGTAAATACACATTCCAGGCCCCCGGCCCCCACCCCCCTCCCCCCCTCCGGCGCCTTGAGGTCCCAGCAGCACACGTCGGGAGGCAAGAGCTCTGCTAGCAAGCTGGCCTGAAACTCCCAGTCACACGGACCCTCTCTCCTCATCCCCTTCCCTTTGTGTCATTGCTAATGTGCGCTGTTCACTGCGTTGAAAGAGTAATCTAACCGACTACCATTAGCTCGTTAAACGTTAAACTGCGCAGTGGGTGATTTCCGGATGCATCGAACCACAGTAATTTATATAAAAAATTTTCAACTGAATAACCTATTTTTTGAGCATAATTTGGCAGCCAGTTCAAGTGTTTTAAAACCAGCTTGCAATTTTTTTTTGTTACCCCACCCCCCCCCATCTCCATTCTTGAAGAACTACTGGCTGCCAAACCTGTACCTGTTTCTGCAACTGTACTTTTGATATTTAGAATTTTTGAATTTCTGTAAAGTAGATTTTGTAGATTGTAATAAGTGTTCACTGCCTTTGTGAAACAGTATATAATTTCTCTGTTAACTGAATGCTTGGGCTTTCAATACGGTATTCATAGAAAGCAATAAATGTTCATGTTTTAAGTGTTGCTTTGGATTTTTTTCCCCCCGCTCGGTCTTTTTCTGTAAACTCAGCTCCTCGCATGCTTGGCAGCTGTAAAAAGCTTTTTGGCTGTTGTCACTAAGGTTGGCAACAAAATTCTACATACTTGTGACCGAGTCTCTGGTTGTGCCTTTGATTCTGAAGAAGCTGATTGAAAGTTCATTGAACTGGGTTGTTTGTTTTTGTGTTTTTTTTTTTTGTTTTTTTTTTTTGTGTATGGCAGGGTCGGTGCCGATCTTTGAACGTCTCACTTCAGAGTGTTTATTCTCCTGATTTGAGTTGCGCATTAAGAAATGCGTGTGTATATCTCAGTGGCAACACAGCACAAATGAAGGGCATGCATCTGAGAAGCATGTGTCTGTGTGCCATGTTGAAATCACCTTTGGGATAATCAATTGCCTGACTAAGGTTGATATGGTTGTGATCCATGTTGAATGACTGTTCCTTGCACATTGGGTTTATCGTACCATTAGTTTTGAACTTAACTGCGAAAGCCACTGCATTTCTATTCACTACTGAGATATTATAATATTTTTTTTTTTATTATTTTTGAATCCTGTGTTAAAACAGCATAAAATGTAACCTTTCATACAAGACTGATTTCCTTTATCTGGTCTTGGGAATATTCTGGAACATGGTTACCCCTGTGGAAATACTTGTTAACCCTTGTGGGTGATGTTTTTCATTTTTTTTCTGTTTATTAATGAGGGTTAATTATAGAATTGCTTAATGAATTTTTGACCCCTGACCTTAGTGTTACAAAGCCAGCAACTGTAGCCGTCTTCATGCTTGGTCTGATTTAGGAAATGTCACTCTTAGTTTTACTTCTGCTGTGAGCTCAGCCAGCTGGTGTTTGAAGAGAAGTGGGCGTTTTCTGTAGGAGTTGACCTCTCATTGTCTTCGTCTTTGTGCTGGTCCCTCTGGCTGTGAGAATGATGCCAAAGTTCCATGAAAGCCATAATTAACTTTTTTTTTTTTTGTTTTTTTTTTGAGCTGAGTCCTACAGCCAAGTTTATTATACCCAGTTGTAAAAAATATGTATTACTGTAAGAAAAAAGTAATTAGCTTTGAATAAAGTGTTTGCCAAGCAAGGAGTAATAAATCAGTCTGACAGCTCTGCAGCTCCTGGAACCATTGTTGTATTGTCTACCATCCAGAAGAGGGCACTGTTTTATTTCTAACCAATTTAACAGGTGAAATCTCTGGGAAGTGCTGTGTTAAATGCCTGCTTGGCACTACAGATGCGTCACGTTACCTCAGACTGGTGTTTGGTAGCAAATGTTTACTAAGCATTTATCTTTGACATGTGACCATATGGTTATATATCCTGCAGTTTGCTGCATTCTAATCCTCTGATACATTTCATTAAACAGATGGCAGGGGGAAAATGTTGGTATTCTGCATACACCCAAGCAATGCACACGTTGCATCTCACTGTTCCTCAGTGATATTTGGAGTATCCCTTCGTAAGGGCAGGAATTCATATTTTAAACAGTGACAGTGAGCACTGAGCTCTACATGCTTCATTCATATTACACCCAGCACTTGTTTTGGCAGGGTTGACCTTTCACCTGAGGGCATTGAAGCAAAATCCTCAATCATTTTCTGCAGTACATAACATTTAAAAATGTTCAAGCTCTAACTCAGTTTCAAATATAACTCCTGCATTCTCTGTATTTTGATGTCACTTTAACACTTTCTTGTAAGACCTAATTGGGGAATTAAAAGAGGTCAGTCTGGTCTGGTGTGAGGAAACACCAGTGATGACTGAGCAGTATTATAAATGGTGGAAGGAAGCTAAAGATGCCAATTTAACAGGTGGAAATGACCCAGATGTCTCCTGCTAGTAGACCTGTCCATCTTGGCCAAAGACAAAAGCCCTAGGATAGAAAGGCACAGTTAAATCACATTGTTTTCAAGCATTGACTGTAGTGAGCACCCATTACCCTCATTTGCACTGGAACCAGCAGCCCAAAGGAACATCACTTTACATAGGAGGGACGAGCTCATGGGCTGAAATTCACTATCAGATGACGCAGGTACATTCAGAGGTGAAGAACTTATCGCAGGCATCATTGTTATCTGTCTCATCGTTGGCTGGCTTTATAGAGTGAACACAGTCCTCTCCCTGCCAGCTCTGATGCCAAGTGATTCATTAAGAGGTGGTGACATTCTCTCACTTTGCATTTCCATTGCACTCCCGTCCTGGTTGCACAACTGTCTTCTTAGTAGGTTGTGTTCCTCAATAGTCAACTGCAGTCCCCAAGGCAGATGAAATATAAAAAATAGTCACTTGCTAAAAAAAGACAACAGTATATTCGTAAATATAGGTTACCTGCTGGGCTGCCCCTCACACTACGAAACAAGACAGGTGACCCAACTGCTGTTCATCTTACAGCCCCAAGCTGTTGTGTGTGGAATTTCCCTCAACTGCTTGTTGATTTGTGGTAACCCTCTCCATGTCTACCTGCTCTTAGCCATCCAAAATCCAGAATGTTATTGAGATGTCAAGTGTGATAAAAACCGCTTTTTAAAATTACTTTTAGGCACAGCTGGTGTGGGAGGAAAAGAGTGGCTAGATATAGTCAGGCTCACCTCAACACTGAGCTTGGGCTCTGGAACCAAACTCCTGGAGAGGGGCTGGACTGTATTCCACTCTGGAAGTGCCCTTAGTCAGAGGCATCGGGCAGGTGTGGGTCTACTTAGGTTACGTTCACACTGCCATGCTGAAGTGACTCAAATCAGATTTTTTGCCTTAATGTGACACAGATCTGATCTTTTCAGGGCTGTGTGGACACGCAAATCTGATCTTTTCAAATCTAACTCGACAAAGTAGCTCAACTAGACTGAACACCGGCAGCGCGGGAAGGTAAAAATGGAGGAGAGCTGCGATAACAGTCAGTGGAAGGATGGAGAAGTTGGGGATTTAATTGATATTTGGGGAAATTAATCTGTTCAAGCTAAACTGGAAGGAACCTATCGTAATAGAGTAGTAATTGAAATAATTGCCAAATAAATGGCACAGCGCGGACACGAACGTGGCTACAATGCCAAAGAAAAAAAAAGAGCCTGAAGTCAAAGTTTAAGGAGGAAAAAGACTCGAATCGGCACAGCCTGTCATGGCCGCACAACGTGCTAATTTTACGACCAGCTTTTTACCCGTGTAAAAACATATCAATGTGCGCATGCGTGACGTTTCAGAGGACCAATGCGTTCACATTACAGTCAGATACAGGTCACTTGTAGTTATGAATGTGAACTGTCAAGATAGACAAATCTGATCTGAGCAAAAAATCGGAATTGAACGATGTGGCTGGCAGTGTGAACGTAGCCTTATAGCCCCCTGGTTCGGTGCCTGTATGTTGGAACAGTTTACCCTGATGAACGAGATGGTCACCTTCCTTTGACTTAGAGTCGGGGGACAGGCTCTGAATGTTGTTTGTGCCTGTGCACCACTTCAGAGTTCCTGGCCTTCTTGGGGACCTTGGGTGGGGTGTTGGAAGGCACTCTTAGAGCACTCCATTATTCTGCAGGGGGACTGTGATGATCAAATGGCTAACGACAGTGAAACCCGGAAGGGTGTGATTGCGAGGAATGGCCTGCCTGATCTGTTATTGGACTTCTGTGCTAATTGTTGTCTGTCCACGAAGAACACCATGTTTGAACATAAGGGTGTTCATACAGTAAGTGGAACCAGCCAGTGCCTCATCTACCTTGATAACCTGCTCGCCCATACTGCCGATTTCAATGGCGTACTCAACAACCTGTACACTGTCTTTGTTGCAATCCGGAATCTGGCCTGTGCCTCAGCTCCCTCCACCGAAAGGTCACCCAAGAGTTCTTCTGCTGTTGTCATATGCCGATAGGGCGCAACTTTGAGGGAAGGGTTTTTGGCAAGTCCTGCAAGCGGCCGGACATTGCGAAGACCCGCACCAAGCCCCATCAGCCGCTAAGTGATGGGCTGGTGGAGCTCGCCATCCTGGTCGCCCACCACCAGCACGCCTGGGTCTGCCACCCGCCCCTGGTACTCTGGGCAAACCGAACAGCAGTGCAGGAAAGCACTCGGTGCCACGTCGCCTGCGCTAATGTTTGTATGGGAGCTATGCAACCCAGGGTACTTGGTGTTCGTACTGCCCCCAGAGCTGGAGGTAATGAGGGAGGCAGGCATGGAGTACCAGTGGTCCTTACGGGAGTGTCTGAGAGGTGGAAACAAGCTGGCCAACACCAGGACTCGGTGACTGCCTGAGAAAAGTGTACCTACGATGCACATAACTGTGGGCAGGATTTTAACATTGGGAACCGGGTTTGGGTGTACTGTCCCATTCGCAGAGCTGGCCCCTGCAGCATTTGCGAGATTTTGTGGTGGACTGGGGGTTCGCCAGGTGTGGCTGAACCCTCTGTTGGGCTAACCTGATGGACTCTGTCGGTTGCTGTCAGAGTGGTGTGTTAGAGCAATAAAACACAGTTCATTACTCCAAACCGGCATGAGACTTACTCCAGAGTGACACAACTAGGCCTACCGCTACAGTATGTGTGTGCGTGTATGTGTGTGTACCCACACGCACACGCACACACACAAACTACACACATCGACATTTTATTTATTTGTTTTTTTGCTTGGTAACTTCTGCTGCCTGTGTTATACACGATATCTGTGGAACAGGGTAAAAAAAAAACGGGACTGCAGCTTCTATAGGTACTTTATTTTATTTTACAATCTAACTTTAACTCCAGATATGTGGCAGCTTTCAAAACTATTTTAGTGTCTTATATATTTTTTGTCAAATTCATAACGAACACTGTGCAACCCTGATCGGGATATGTGATGGGCAGGCATGTAGCCACGTAGTAAAATTATGGGATGGAACCCCCCTCGAAATTTGCCGGACCTCCCCCACCAACCCCGGGATTTATTTCTAGCCACGATAATGATGGTGGCTAAGAAGACAGATACATAATGCGCACGTTTCAGCTTGTATCAGGACTACACTTTACTAAATAACCTTTAAATACCAACATTACTTTTTGATCCAAGTTTTTTCAACAACTTTTTAAATATCCTTATAACTATGTCTGCCGTATCCGATTAAAATTAAGTAAACATAATTCAAAAGAAAAGAATCGATGTCTGTTATATACTTGAATACAGAATTATTATTTATTAAATCAGTATTTTGCTTCATTCAGTCATTTTCCACAGTAAGAACGACTTGTTATGGTTCTTAGGAACTGGTTTGCTTATTATTTAAGTGATTTTGTCGCGGGGGGGTCAGACACGCCCCAAAGTGCACATGCGACTGCAAATGCCAGCGATGCATAATACACATAAGGTCATGCATTCCACCAAAACTGTATTTCAAGTGAAAGTCAAAGGGAGGGTAGAGACTGCCCCTTCGGATTTAAAACAGTTCATATGACAAACGAATGCTGCACTCTTTCATACGCAAAGGAGCTCTCTGCTAGAAACTTTTGCATCTAATCTAAAAGTTAATAAAAAGTAATACAATGGATACGGACTTTGGAAATGGCGTCAAAATCTTTTGCATCGTTTTGTCTTGCTTGTCAAAGCTACAGACTGGATTTTCGGAGGAATATGGAGACGGTGTGGGCACCCAGAGTCCGGTAAGCATACTGTGACCTACGTTGGTCTGCAGTACAGACGGCAGATTTCCGTCAGCGTTGCAAAGACTTTACTGACATCTGAAAATGGATAAACGAAACGTTACATATTTAATGTACATATACGCATACTATCGTTAAAGGTAGACCATAAACATACTGCTCTAGACATTTACAGAAAGCATTCGTTCGATTTATTTTTAACACAGTAAATGACAACCATGAAGAAACTTCATATGAAAAATGAACATTGTATGCAATGTCCCTTGATGTATAGCATATTTGTACACGCATTCTGTCATATACTAATTTCCCAGGCTAAGTAATAATGCAGAAAGTATTGTTTCCCAGCCTCTTCCCCAGCGAGAGAGATGTTTTTCTTATCAATTATGTTGGCCGCTATTTACCTGAGCGGACTCAAGTAACTTAGTAGGCTCAGTTACTACTCAAGTACAAATCATTAACAAATAAAGTAACTGCATGAAATTCATGAACTGTCATGGTTGATTAATGATGAACGAACATGCGATCAGTAACAGTTTCTGGTTAATTAATATATTAAGTAAGAGTGTTCTACTGCATTATTCAAGTCCCCTCAAGTAAAATGTTACCAAAATGTTCATGTAGAAATTATCACTGCTTTACAGGTTGGATATCTAGGTCTGTTCAACAGCTGCTAAAGGCCTTTTCTTCAGCATTCTCTCATTCACCGTAGCCTACTGGTCTTACGGTTTGCCTAGTTGCTTAGCTGACCAGTGTGTGCCTGCATTTTAATGAAGTACCAGAAAATTGATTTTGACATACTTTATGTGATGTCTCCTGTTTTTTGTTTTTTTTTTGGTTTTTGTTTTTTGCTGCACGATGACCTGTTTCCCTGGCAGTCTCACTTCTTTGCTCCTTATGTTGAGACCCGACAATAAAACTCCAACTGCAAATGTCATACCTAAGAATGTCCCAAGATCTTTGGCTAGTACTTTTTTGCTTGGAGTTATATAATGCAACAGTCAGTCTGTGAATGAGTATAATTCAGCCTTTAAGCTACTCTGCTTTCTAACTTCACATGTAGGTCAAGGACAAACTTCACATTGGCTAAGCTGGTGACGGTTGGCAAACCAGTCATCGTGCCTGTTGATTTATGGATGTCCCGCATACTGGGTTCTTGTCTGACTGCAATGTGTTATCCTTGTCATCCTTGTCCACAGAGAGTGAAACGTCAGAGCCAGTGGTCCAGTCCAGGGGTAAGTGCAAGACTTTTTTAGTTTCACGATAGTGAGATCCCTGTGGTTCTGCCCAGTTCCTTTCTGCAGTGTCATGAGCACAGCCTCTCAGCAGGTTCTCAGTTTGCAGTGCTTCCATTTTGTTTTCTGGTGTGAAACCCCAGGGTCATATACAGATAAGTGGCCTTAACCACAGAGGACAGTCACAGATCCCCGTCATGCTCACATATGCGCCAGTGAACTCCGAGGTTTTACTGCATGTTGAAAGGCAGCTCTTCTGTCCAGCAAATTAATAGTAGTCACTTTAGCTACATTTCCTATTTTTGTTTGCACAAACGTTTCTGTGACAACACTCATCTATGTCCATGGTAAAACATTATGTAGGCTATGTTTTTAAATACCACGTCTGTGGTACAAATTGCCTGTTGATCACAGTGTCCACCTGTATTTGCTATGCTGTTGACTCCTGATTAGTCTGTCAATGAATAAAAAACACATCACCAGCCCATAGTAACCGCTTTTTATTATTGTGTTTATAAAGTTTTCTGCGTAAGAGCAATAAAATAATAAATATCAGTTTATGTCTGAAATAAGTGAAATTGCAAATATGACTTAAAAGATCTAAATATGATTCAAAACATCAAGAAGAGGCTTATGATCAGGTTGATCTATCCTTTGATGAATACAGTCTGTAGCATGTTTTACTGGGGAGGCCGGCTTGGCAGTTCCGCTTGGAGGTCTGTTGTTCTGTTGCGTGTAGCTTCTGTGTTGATTGTGTTTCCTCTTGCAATCTGAAGATGAGCCGTTAGGATATTTGGCATTTCTAAAAGCTTGTTGGACCATTGATTGAATAAAAACTCAACAAATACACAGAACACACAAAGCCTTTTCTTCTTCTAAGCCATACATAAGATTATTTTATTTAGTTTCAATATAGGGACATACATGGCTGCAGCACACTGTTTAAAAAATGCTGCCCCAGAGTATGACAGAGTGCCCCCCATGCTCTACTCAAATCCAGGGTCTACTCAAACCCCATCCAGGGTCTACTCAAACCCCATCCAGGGTCTACTCAAACCCCATCCACGGTCTACTCAAACCCCATCCAGGGTCTACTCAAACCTGGTGCCCTGTGTTGTCTGAGGTAGTCTCCATGCAACAATGACCAGGATAATTGGTTCTAAACGGATCACTTAAGAAAATACTGTTAGGGCTATATGATGCAAAATTACTAGATAAATGGCAGTGAGGATATAATATAGCGTGGCTGGTTTGAGTATGTGTGTCTTTCCCAGCTGAAGGTGACAGATTTCCATATACGCTGCAAAGTGGTGTCACGTTACGCCTTTACCACTGTGACCAGCTCTATATGGAACCAGCTATCCATCACCAAGGAGGCTGCCTTCGAAGTAAACCTCCCCGATTCAGCCTTCATCTCTAACTTCTCCATGTGAGTATGACACTTCTTACCCTCTGTCTCATTTCCCTTCTCCATTCTTTTCACTCCTGAGACACAGATCTAAGTTAAGGTGGACTGCAGCCTGTAGACTCAGACAGAAGCTCTTAGGTGTAACTGGTAACAGGGAAACTTCCAGACTAATCTGATTTTTTATGCTTTATCAGACTGTGACCTAACTGCAGGGAACATTGGGTTATTGTTATTGCCATAAAATAAAAAATAAATAGGACCAGTCAGGCAAAATAGAAGAAGAAAAGTAGGAAAGAACCTAGAAGTTTGTTTTTGTTACTAACACTGGTGCTGCAAACCAAACTGCATTTCGAAGATGCTAAAAATAAAATAAAAAAACATCACAACCAAAGGCCATGACAGAAGTCTAGGACTGGATCTTGGAGCAACTGTGTGTCAGTGACATGGAGGAACTGAGGGGAAGATGAATAGCGCACTTTGTACATAGAAGTCAAGAAGTTCATTGAGAACATGACAGTACTGCTCTCCTTAGAGTTTACCATGGCACCCGGCCAAGACGCGCACACACACACACACACACACACACACACACACACAGACGCACACACTCAGGCGCACCCAAGTTTATAATTATATCTTTGTGGGGACTCTCCATTCATTTCTATGGGGAAAACTTTAATCCCCACACGACGACCTTAATCCCTACCAGCCCTAACCTTTTCCATAAGTAACCAAACAAAATACAAGACTTCTGGCATTTTTAGTTTTTTTATTCACATATACACAGATTTTTGGGGGACCTGAAAAATGGTCCCCACAATGTCAAAATAACAAGTTTTAATAAACATAATTCATGCACACACATACGCATGCACACACACACACACACGCACACAAATATTTACACATTCCAGATACTCTCTGCTGTGAGCGAGCAACACAGGGGTAAATACTTGTGGCAGTTCAGTTTCATTAGATAAGCTTAGTCTTTCTTAGGGCTCAGTGTCCCGTTGTAAGTACCCACAGAAATGCCCATTACTTTTCTCACTCTGCCCAATACATATACATAGACACCTCTGTTTTCCACTTTCCACAGTAATGAAACTGACCATGTCTTTTTTCAGCCCTTCATGTTTATTTTTCCAAAGATCTTTGAAATTCCGGCATGTTTCTTTTTAAAACCTGCAATGTTTACTCTGCATTTCCTCCCCACACCTTTAGGCTGAAAAAGAATATTTGTGCGCAATGGCATAGGTGTGTTTTGTTGCAGCTGGTGCGGAAACACATTTCTTGAGAAATTATGTTGAAAATTGTTATGGGGCATGAACTGTGTCTGCTTTCAGTAGTTTGTAGGGAAAAATTCACTACAAACCAATCCGTGCTTGTTACAGATACGTCTTGGAGTCAGATTGCTTTCCTGTTTTTTTTGCAGATGTAATATGATGCGGAATTTCTCCATTTATTTCTTTATAGCAGTCTTATAATTTAAGGCAGGGGTGCCCAACTCCAGTCCTGGGGACCCGAGCCCTGTGTAGCTTAGTTCTTTCCCTGTTCCACCATAAATGATTCAGCTCAAGAGCTGTGTGGTAATTAGCACAAGGAGTTGAATCAGGCGTGTTAAATAAGGGGAAACCCAAAAATGTGCAGGGCTCTGACCCCCCAGGACTGGAGTTGCGCACCCCAGATTTAAGGGATTATGGTGTTCTTTTTTGTTTCCATTAACAGTTTCTTTTCTTTCACCTGATGTGTCTCTCATTCTGCTTGGGCACATCATTTTACAAGGGATTTTTTTCTTCCTTTAATTCTTTCTTTCTTTCTTTCTTTCTTCTCCCTTCAGTACCTCAAACAACAAAACGTACACTGCTCAGGTGACAGAAAGGGGCGTGGCCAAAAGGATCTACGACGAAGCCAAAAGGAAGGGAAAGGCCGCTGGATTGGTGGCCACCAAGTCAGTCCTGACATTCAAAGTATTCACAGTCATTGTCAAATCTGCAGTTGATTAATGTTATTTGTTGCATGATTTGTAGAATAAATATCGTCAAGAAGCATGGGATCCAAGGACTGTAACCGTTGCATGCTGGTTACAGGTGGAGCAACATAAATTTATTTGCTGATAATTTACAGCAAGACGGGGAAAAGGTTGAGGTGGACCAATGCAGAGGGGAATTAAGGTGTGCACATGGCAGAAGGCCGTGGCTGAGGGAGTATCCCAGGCCTCTTGGTTCGCTGGCTGCAGCATCGGGAGGGAGCAGGCTGAGCCATTCACTGATCTTCCAAACAAAAAGAAACTCTCTGTGCCTCCGCTGCAAGGGCATCATCGGTTGTTCTGGCTAAAGCAGGGGTGCCCAATCTTATCCGCAAAGGGGCGGTGTATATGCGCGTTTTTGGGATAACCTGTAGGTCAGCTGTTCAAACCCAGGTGTGAGGACTCTTCAGCCAATCAGTCCTCTAATTAGTAATCTAATTAGGGAGTTGCAGCGAAAACCCGCATACACACCGGCCCTTTGCGGACAAGATTGGGCACCCCTGGGCTAAAGCCTTAGTATGGGATTTCTTTAAGGAGATTTCTGTGGCTCCATTCCTGTCCCTCTCACCGCTTAAATGCTATTCATGGCAGATGGTGAGCGGAGTAAATTACATCCAGCTGACTGTCAAGCAGTTGGCACTTGTTTTGCCTCTGCACGTCCATGGTGCTCCCAGAGGTGGTGGTGGTGAACGATAGGAGATGATCCACCCTGTGACAACCCTTGGCCTGGGTTGTTCACTGTAAGGGGGCATGGTCCGTGATGGGTGTGAAGGGTTAGATGGCGAAGCGGTTTTTCTTTCCCCAGGGTTCAGTTTCCTGGAAAGATACAAGACAAGGTCCTCTTCTCCTTTAAGGTCCTGTGACAGCACGGCCCCCAGGCCTACCTTTGAGGAATCAGTGTGAGGGAAGAATGGTCAGCCAGAATCTTTGATCCTTATGGGTCCCAGATGACCAACCTAAGCTGTCCTTTTCAGGTGAGGTCTGATAGGGGGGCTGCTGCAGAAGAGAAACTGGGGGCAATGCCCCGGAAGTACCCCGCCAGCCCTAGAAAAAGCCCGTTTTGGTGGTTATGGACGGCCTCTGCTTTCTTTTCCTGAAGTCTGAGCCGGCCATGTCCGATATGGTAATCAAGGTAGTGGTCCTCCGTCCAACCATAGTGGCATTTCACTGGGTTGGCAGTTGGGCCCCCCTTCAATGGATGGCCTCTAAGACCTTTCCGAAGGCAGATGAAGTGTTCCTCCCAGTTGTCAGTGTGCACTACCGCATCATCTATAGGTTGGCCGCTGCATACACCAGATGTGCCTGAAGGACTATGTTCATTGTGTGCTGAAAGGTGGCTGGGGTCCCAGGTACCCCAGAGAGGAGAACCGTGTATTTCCAGTGGCACCCAGTGTTACTAAAGACAGTTTGTTTCCATGGCCCCATGGTGATTGGCACTTGCCAATACGCTTTGGTGAGGTACACTGTACTGAAGTATCAGGCATTACCTAGCCACTCCATGAGCTCATCTACAGTACCCTCCATATTGTTTGGGACAAAGACACATTTTCGAGCCTGGCTGTTGCAGGTAATGATTAGGAGGAACACCAAGATGAGGTTGGTGGGCTGAAATTCTTGGACCAGTGTAGGGCAGTTATAGGCTCGAGCTTCCCCCTATCGGGTCTGTTTCATGGCTCATGGTCCATAGGCATCACCTGCTCTATCCTCCTTGTCTTCTCCCTCATGTGGCCTCCTACAGTTGGAAAGGGGGTCGGCTGCTGCTCCCGTTGAGCATGCATCTCAGTGGTCTCCCAACAGGAGTCCGAAGAGGGTAAATCCAGTGGAGGCCTGGGACACCTGAACAGCACATAAGGCAGCATCATGTCCCAGTCCTCGCTGTCCTCTGCAACCACCTGCTTCAACATGTGCTTAAGAGTTTGGTTAAAGTGCCCGACCAGCCCATCCATCTGGAAGTGGCATGGTAGGTTTGGAGGTGTTTTACCTTCAGCAGGGTGCACAGATCTTTCATGGTAAAGGACATCAATCCTGATCCCTTCGTGTTGACTTTTTTTGACGTGTCCTTACAGAGGGCCAGCTCCTTGGGATATTGTGTCCATGAGGACTAGGATGTACTCATGATCCCGGGCTGACCTGGGCCACAACCTGGCTAAATCCAGCCTGATATGGTTGAAGGGGGCATTGAAAATGAGGAGCAGGATGAGTGGGCTGTGTGGTGGCTTGGGGGCCAGTTCTCTGGGATAACATACAGAGGTTTTTTACTTCAGAGGTCATATCTGGTCAGTGAAATAGATCCAAATTCCCCACTGTTGGGTGCAGATGAGCCAACACCAGGAGGGAGCTCACGTGGTGGCAGAGCCCTAGCAGGTCCTTCTGTTCCACATACTGTGGTATGGAATAATAATTTTAAACAATCATTTGGGACCAAAAATCTGCATTGGAAGCACAAGTTTCTCCCCTTAAACTATTGTGACTTGACTTTTGATTACTGGTGAATCAATGCCTTTGCCGGACCAGCTGGGTGAAGTCAGGAAAGCTATGAGGGTTGCATTGCTAATGTTTTAACACATGTACGCAAGTGATCATGTACAATTGTCATCATCTGGCATGATTATCAGTTGCCTAAGTTTTGTTGATCAAAATGGAATACAGTTTCTCAGTGACATAATTTTACACCCAAAACAATATATGTAAATGATAAACATCATTTTAACCATGAGAATCAAAATTCTCTCATAGTTAAAATTATGCTGATTGTATCATTCTAGTGGCACAGACTAATTCATTGATAGAATTATCTAATTTTGAGACACAAGTTAATTGTTTTGGTTGAGATATGGCATGTGAACTATACTGTTCTGCTATATGCATAAACTGTTTTGAGAAATGCTGTTATATTTGCAAGAATATTAAGTACGCTTTATGAAATGTACTAAAGCAATTGAGAAAAACTGTAAATACATAGATATTGCCTTATTTCTGAACAGTGTACAGATAAGCAGTGACTGTACTTATTGTAGAATAAAGACCTTAACTATTAAGGAGTGGACATGGCTTCCTGACCTGCTGCTGTATCCCTCAGGGAACGAGAAACGGAGAAGTTCCGAGTGGTGGTGAGCATCCCACCTGGGGCACGGACTTCATTCTCCCTGTCCTATGAGGAGCTGCTCTTTCGGCGCCTAGGCCACTATGAGCTGACCTTGGGTCTGCGTCCCACACAACCTGTCCAGAACTTCAGCCTTGAGGTTACAGTGATGGAGAGAACAGGCATCAGTTTCATCAAAGTTCTGCCGCTGCGGACCAGTCGGCTGATGTCCAGTACCGTCCAAGGCACGAGTAAAATTTTGGTGGTGGCAAATGAAGATTTTTTTAAAAATTGTATCCTCTCTATGCAGTCCAGGATTTATAGCATGTTGTGAAATATGGTCTGGATTTGATTAGTAATGTTCTAGAGCAATTTCAAGAGCTATTATAGGGGAAGGGTAATCATTACAGTTCATCTTGACAAGTCAGCATTGTTTCAGCCATGACAGTCAAAACAGTCAGTATGTCAGTGTAATTATGCTCCTGAGCTCCACAATTCTGGATGATTGTCGTTTCCTACTCTCTCACTGCCACTGACTGATCATTTTTCTTTAGCAAACTGATACTTCATTCATGTCAAAGACACCACTTTCTACATCACAGTACGTAATGAGTGAGAAAGCACTCGCATACACATGTAACTTCAGATCACAGCACAAGACCAAACAAAAAAGGCACACATCACTCTGTGACACAAAAACGGCCAAATGGCAATACAAAATCAACAAAATGACAACAAAATCATGTATTGTGAGAATCAAAAAAACATCAGTGCTATTTCACTGCAATTTATGGAATATATTCTTGAATAATTGTGATAGTTTGGTGAACTGTTTTGCATGTGGTGGCTTACATGCAGTTCTGGGAGTGAAATTAATACAATAGGTAATTGCATGATCCATTTGCATATCGTGTGGTTTTTCTTCCTCTGGTTTAGGGGATGAGGCCCCCCCAGCTGGGATGGTTATTGAGCAGACCTCTGGCTGTGCCCAAGTCCGCTACAGTCCCACCTGGCAGCAGCAGACCAGCACCTCCCCAAAGGGCCTTAATGGGGATTTTATCCTGCAGTATGATGTGGAGCTCAATGATCTGATGGGGGACGTCCAGGTATAAGTCTTTCAGAGGACTGGGACATTGGGAAGCAAGGAGGACACTGACTTGAATTTTAATTTGAAGCTTGATGATTTGATTGTCCCAGGATGGGCTGTGATGTTAAACTTATCTAAACATAATAATAATAATAATAATAATAATAACAACAATAATAATAATGATAATAATAATAAAGGGAGCTGGAATCCCATGCAATCCCTGCCTGTGTTTCCAGAAACTTCTGGCTCATCACAAAATTTTACTGGATGATAGACCTATTAATTGTGATTATTCATGGTTCTGTTTTCAACAATATTTACTTCTTTTTTTGTCTTTTTCTTAGATTCATGATGGATATTTTGTGCATTATTTTGCACCCAGAAAACTTCCTGTTGTACCCAAGAATGTCATTTTTGCCATTGACGTTAGTGGCTCCATGATTGGCACCAAAATTAAGCAGGTAGAACGACAAACCTTATAGAAATATCCCAGTGCAAAATGTCATAAGCCTCTGAGGTTTTCCGTAGGTTCTGAGGTTTGCAGTAGTTTTGCAAATATTGGTTGTCATTTGAGAAATGCGGCAAAGCAATCGAAAAAACAAAGTTTTGACAGGCAGTGTGCAATGTACTTCACAGGTGTGTAAACCCAAACCATGCAATCAAATCTATTCTAGTCTATACAAATAAAGAGAAAACAACACAAACAGAAAAAAATGCAAAGAAGAACCTTACAGAGGAAAAAAATACTCAGGCCGCATATTGCCACCGAGCTGGATCTAGCCACAGCACATCGTCAGCATCATAAGCAATATCCTCCCTGGCTAAACAGCAAGGCAAGAAGCGGCTTGAGTGTCACATCAAGCCCTGGACAGCCCCCACATCACATGCCTCTTCCATTGGCTGTGGGAGGGGCATGCACACTTTTGCATGCTGGTAGCTGCCTCATCCCCCAGGATATGACTGTTGTGTAGTGGACACTATTCTGTACTGTAGTCTCTGTTGTAATTACATCCACACATTAATTTCTCAGATCTTTGATTCATTGAGAATTTCTCTTAAAAAGGCACCCAGTCCAGCTGCTTCAGCTGAGCTTGGTTTTGGTGGAGAATACTGGCCAGTGTGGAAAGGCTGACTTGCCGGATATTGTTGAAAATTGTGTTGTCCTTTATAGTGAGGCTTTGAATCTGTCACAGTCTAATTGCATCGTTTGCCGAAACCAAGTCGATCATTTCTACTTCCTGTGCCTCACAGACCATTCGAGTCACCATTATGTTTTTTCTCTTAATCATTTAGAAGAACCAAAGTAGTGATTTGTCAGTGTTGCCTAAAGATTGTTTCATTTTTTCCCCCACTTTTTCGAGGCTTTGTACATACCCATTATCTCGGTATATTTGGTAACACTTTATTTAAGGTTATGTTATTAGTCATTTATAAACACAATCATTATGCATTATAATGCATTCATAAGGAGCTATTTACATGGCTGTAAATATTTATAAAAACGCATAACACATTATAGCCGTGTTTGTAATGCATTATGACTGCCTTATGAAGCTTTCATCTATAATGCACTATGGATGCCTTTATAATGCAGTATAAAAGCATCCTTAATTCTTATACTGATTTTTGTAATGCATTGTAAAGGTATCTATAGTGCATTATAGATGAGAGCTTCATAAAGCATTCATAATGCACAATACTAATGGCAATAATGTGTTATGCCTTTTGATAAATGTTTGTAGCCATGTTTATAATGCTTTGTGAATGCATTATTTGTTAAAATTGTGTTTATAAATGACTAAAAATAAAGTGATACCATATATTTTAACCTTCTATAAGAAATACTAAGTTTCTGTAGTGCTTTTTAGGACAGAGCTCATGGATGAGGTCTTCTGTAAGAAAATTATTGAACTCTGTGTTGTTATGCACAATGCTGCCATTTATATGTATAGGCTTGTGATCTCAAAAAGAAGAAAGAAACTTGAGATTGCATAATATTTAATCCATCCTTTCCATGCAGACAAAACAAGCAATGGCCACAATCCTCAGCGAGCTGCGGGAGGATGACTTCTTCAACATAATCACATTCTCTGACACAATCCGTATCTGGAAGAATGGAGGAACTGTGAAGGCTATTCTGAGCAATGTGCATGATGCACAAGAGTTTGTCAAGAAGATCACTGCTGAGGGATGTAGGTGTTAAGGAGCCGAAATAGGTCTTGGGCTTACAGTATTAATTTATAGTATTGTTATGATTGTTAAAGTATTTTCTGATTCTCTGGATTTTTGTTAAATTGACTTATAATAATTATTTCACTTAATTTTGTTTATTTAGTTAATTAAAATGACTTTCAAATTAGACAGCTGAGTATTTGGTAATGCTTTACATTAACTGCACCTTCACCTGAATTTTCTGCGAATGCATTATAAAGACATTATGAAGGTACAGCTCATGTAGAGCATAACTGAATATTTCCTATGACACACCAGGTTGGGTCTGATTTTTTAGATAAGTATAAGTAAGTTTATGCTACTTTGTTACTTTTGTGTATTATTTCTGTCATCACTTTTAGGGACAGACATAAATTCTGCCCTACTATCTGCGGGCCAACTGGTGAAATCAATGACCCAAAATTCAACACGGCGGATCCCCCTGGTCATCTTCCTAACCGATGGAGAAGCCACCACTGGTGTGACGTCAAGTGAGATGATCTTGCGTAACGCTCGGAAAGCCCTGGGCTCTGCCTCCCTTTTCGGCCTGGCCTTCGGGGACGACGCAGACTTTGCGCTACTCCGACGACTTGCCCTGGAAAACCGTGGGGTGGCTCGGATGGTATATGAGGACTCAGATGCTGCTCTGCAGCTCAAGGGATTTTATGATGAGGTGGCCAGCCCACTGTTGTCCGATATCCAACTCTCCTATTTGGATGACCAGGCTTTTGATGTAACCCGCTCGCTGTTCCCCAACTACTTTCAGGGTTCTGAGCTTGTGGTAACTGGCAGAATTAAACCAGGGGCCCAAGACCTTAAAGTCTTCCTCAGTGCAGAGGATTCGAAACAGATTCTGAAATTAGAGAACATTGTGCCCACGTTTAGTTCTGAGAGTAATGTTACTGCATCACCCTTGGGCTGCCAGGGGGACATGAACGGCGCATTGAGCTTTGTGCAGCGCCTTTGGGCCTATTTCACCATCAAGGAGCTTCTGCGGGCCAAACTGAATAGCACCGACCCAGCTGCACAGCGCCTCCTGGCTGAGAAGGCCACCAACCTCTCACTCAAGTACAACTTTGTCACTCCTGTCACATCCCTGGTTGTGGTCAAGCCAGATGCCAATGAAGGCCCCGTTAACTTCAATGTTTCCTCTTCAAATACTACAGCTACACTTCCCATCACCATTACCACTAACGGACCCAGTACATCTCCAAACTCCCAAACCCATACTCCTCCTACGGTCCCTAGGATGCCTGTTTCCAATGTAACAGTCACTAAGAAGCCCAACTTGAATTCTAGCCGCAAAGAAGTCAAACCCAATATTGGTCTACCTGGGAAACCTTTGCCGTCTTGGCTACACAACACAAGTCGACCCACACAACTCCCACAGGGCAGGAAGCTCACGAGTCCATCAACCCCTGAAAGAACAAATCCATCTGTGAAAACCAGTCTTCTCAAAACTGCATATCCACACTGCTGTGGGAAAAATTCTACTCCAACACCGCCCTCCAGAATAATGCATCCAGTGCATCCTGGAAAAGTCATTGTGTCTCCTCCAGACTCTGAGAAAGATACCAGTGAGCCCAGTGCTGACCCTAAAGCCCCAATCATACCTACTCACTTCCATAGCTTAGTGTCTGCACTGCCCATTTTCACTGATGCCCCCAGCACTGATACTGGAGGAGACACTGAAAATGCCACTCTGGTAGCTGCCACCTTTGTACCCATGCCAGGTGTCACAGAGGTGCCAAAGCTGGTGGAATATGAGCTGCTGGGTAAGTGCAATACCCTGCTGCACATCGCCCTCAGGATTCAGATGTAATTATCTTTACATGTCATGGTATGTGGCTCATTACACAGCTTTAACATGCATCCACTAATCTATCCAACCACCTCCATCAGCCACCCCAGGGTTGTAGGATAATCATAATACCACACATCCAACCATCCATTCTTCTACTTTCAGATATTTCTTAGAGTTGCAGGGTAATCTTAATACTACATTATTTATTCATCTAACATCTGATTGGATAAGCAAATCCAGATCTAAGGTTTTAGCAAAATAAACATTTTATATATACACTCACCTAAAGGATTATTAGGAACACCATACTAATACGGTGTTTGACCCCCTTTCGCCTTCAGAACTGCCTTAATTCTACGTGGCATTGATTCAACAAGGTGCTGAAAGCATTCTTTAGAAATATTGGCCCATATTGATGGGATAGCATCTTGCAGTTGATGGAGATTTGTGGGATGCACGTCCAGGGCACGAAGCTCCCGTTCCACCACATCCCAAAGATGCTCTATTGGGTTGAGATCTGGTGACTGTGGGGGCCATTTTAGTACAGTGAACTCATTGTCATGTTCAAGAAACCAATTTGAAATGATTCGAGCTTTGTGATATGGTGCATTATCCTGCTGGAAGTAGCCATCAGAGGATGGGTACATGGTTGTCATAAAGGGATGGACATGGTCAGAAACAATGCTCAGGTAGGCCGTGGCATTTAAACGGTGCCCAATTGGCACTAAGGGGCCTAAAGTGTGCCAAGAAAACATCCCCCACACCATTACACCACCACCACCAGCCTGCACAGTGGTAACAAGGCATGATGGATCCATGTTCTCATTCTGTTTACGCCAAATTCTGACTCTACCATTTGAATGTCTCAACAGAAATCGAGACTCATCAGACCAGGCAACATTTTTCCAGTCTTCAACTGTCCAATTTTGGTGAGCTCGTGCAAATTGTAGCCTCTTTTTCCTATTTGTAGTGGAGATGAGTGGTACCCGGTGGGGTCTTCTGCTGTTGTAGCCCATCCGCCTCAAGGTTGTGCGTGTTGTGGCTTCACAAATACTTTGCTGTATACCTCGGTTGTGACGAGTGGTTATTTCAGTCAAAGTTGCTCTTCTATCAGCTTGAATCAGTCGGCCCATTCTCCTCTGACCTCTAGCATGAACAAGGCATTTTCACCCACAGGACTGCCGCATACTGGATGTTTTTCCCTTTGCACACCATTCTTTGTAAACCCTAGAAATGGTTGTGCGTGAAAATCCCAGTAACTGAGCAGATTGTGAAATACTCAGACCGGCCCGTCTGGCACCAACAACCATGCCACACTCAAAATTGCTTAAATCACCTTTCTTTCCCATTCTGACATTCAGTTTGGAGTTCAGGAGATTGTCTTGACCAGGACCACACCCCTAAATGCATTGAAGCAACTGCCATGTGATTGGTTGATTAAATAATTGCATTAATGAGAAATTGAACAGGTGTTCCTAATAATCCTTTAGGTGAGTGTATATATCCCAGCAAGTGAGTCTCCTCATTCTTCGCTGCTCTCGCGATGCCTTGGGCTGCCCGGTAGTGATTTACCGAAACAGTCATGCGTGGCATGTTCCCCTAACCGAATTTAGTAAGTGGAAGGATGCGTATAATTTATACAGAATGCTAACTTTTGGTGTCACAATACGCACCTTATTAATATGTTAGACATACTACTAATTTGCTTATCAAATTGTGGGTGACAATAATTTCCGTGTAGTACCAAAAAGCTGACGTCCATTATCTAAAGCCTTGCAATAACATGCAGTTTGTTGATGTCAAAATAGAATTAATTAAAATTAAATGGCCTGTTTAATTTTCCTGGAGGAAAAGGAGGTTCTTCTGACTATGATGGGCACCATCCTCAAAAGTCTGAAGGAAAGTTCTGAAGGAAAATTAATCGTTTATATTAACCAACCAATCGGTAAAACGGTCGATAGATGAATCCATAAAAAATAGTAATTAGTGGCAGCCATAATATACAGTATATTCATGTATTATATATGGCATTCTGTTTTACATTCCTTTCATTTTGTATATATGGTTTTGAATGAAAATGAACACTTACTGCTTGAATACTACTATCATCATTCCTGTTTGTATATAATGTCCAAACATACCTACGATTGGCTTGGAATTTTGGCCAAATGGAGCAAGTTGTGATTCATTCTCCTTGTTTCTTCTCCAGATGTTCCTGTCCTCAAACTGGCTAAAAAGAAAGGTGAGAGTCCTTCATCACTTTTGAGGATGGTGCTCATCATAGTCTGAAGAGCCTTCCCACAAAGACAGAGGGAAGATTTATGACACCTACTAAATATTGAGTTTCTTTTTCAGTCAGTTACTGCTTGTCCTATTTAAGGCATTGTCATTTGTTCTAAACACAAATGCTGTTACTGTGAAAATGTAATAGACATTTGACTAATAGACTATGCTGTATACTGTAAATAGGTACACTACCAGTCAAAAGGTTTTCACACACTGTGATTTTCTACATTTGCATGCTAATCACTTAACATTTATTTAAAAATACACTCAACAGTCTTAGCTAGCAATTAAATTTACAGTATGTTCACCATCTGAGTGCCTTTATTAGCAAGAAAATTTCATATCTTTGATCTATCAAAGTAACCTCCTCTAGCTGTTATAACAGCAGAGAAAAACTGAGGCACTCTTTCTACAAGAGACTTTAAATGCTGCTCTGTTTCATTAAATGCATTTAAAATTAATATGCCATTACCACATAACCAAGTAATAGGATGACAGTCATACACTGTTACATACTCTCTCCATGTCATGAAGGAAACTTGTTTTATTTGACTTATATTTTAATTTATATTTATACATTCAACTTTCCAGTGGTTAACAAGAATGAAAAATCTGCAGTTTATAAAATAAATGGAAACGTGGTAAAAAAAAAACCTTTGGTATGCACTACTTTGACTGGTAGTGTAGGTGTTGATATACATATATTTATTTTCTATTTTTAGATATGGACCATGTGGAAGGTGAGATCAGTAATCCAAGGTAAATTTAAGGGAAGAATGAGAGATGACAAGTGACAACTACTCATAATGTTGGCTGTTGAAATGAAACTAAAGCACTGTGACTTCCTTATATTGAAGCCCTGGAGCTGTTACAGGCTGTGGGGAAGAGATGTGTAACCTAGCCCCTTCCTTTTTTCTAGCTTATGAGTACCAATATTATGCTAGCGAAGTTAATGGTAAGTTCAAAGAAAGTTATGCCATTTTCTGAAATGCAAAACTACTATTATAACAGAGAACATTGAATCATAGTTAGCTGATCTGACAGGTCTGATTCTTCTTTCTTTTCAGATATTGCTCATGTGGCAGGTGAGATCAGTAATACAAGATAAAATTAAGGGAAGAATGAGAGGAGACAAGTGGCATCAAGTTCCTGCTGACTTACGTTCAAATGAAGCACTGTGATTCTCTTGATATTGATGTTCTGGCAGTGTTGTAGGCTGTTGAGATGAGCCTGATGTGTAAACCAGCTCAATTCCCTTTTTTTCTAGATTATGAGTACTTATATTATGACAGCGAACTTGGTAAGTTCAAGGGTCAAAGAAAAACATTCATTTAAATAAGTTACTGGAGGTTCATTTGCAATAGATGCTTCATTAGGCATATTTCAAACATAAGCATAGCCATGATAAATACATAATAAAAACTTCTTAATGCTAGATCATTAAAGATCACTCTAAGTGGTTATTTTCATTAGTATCAAAACATTTGCTTTTAACATTTCCAGGATGAAATTAAAAGTAACTGCTGACGGAATGATAATAATGTATTCCCTAGACGACCTCGTCACTCCTCCCCCTATCTAAACTCTACTCCTCCCGCGCTCCCCAACCTTCACAATCTCTAGCCCTCTTGCACAGTCTCCCCACTTCTGCAAAAATCACTTGTCTTAATGTAATCAATAGAGATGCTCCATATGGCAGCAATTTGAATCCGCCAAATTCCGCCTAATTACTCAGTGGCCTTTCAATTCTAGTAATCAAGTTTACCAGATCTGCATTTGTGGCTGTCCTTTCATGTGCCACCATTAAGTGACAATACTTCAGTCTTGGTGCAGTTTATCTCGTAATTGGGTTAAGTCCCAGATCGTCACCTATGCAATTATTTTTTGAGTTTCTGTATTCACAGGTATCAAATATCTTCTGCAGCCACCCTTTCCTTCCTTTGCTGCCACTAACGCTGCTGTTTCACAGTTTGGATGTGATTTGTTTCAAAATGAAATGAGGTGTAGATCCTCATCCATATAATGTTTTGTGAAGTGGTAATAAGACTCATCAAATACTTTTTGGTTCATCATGTTCACAAGGTCACCTGTTTGTGGCAATCATCTTACCTTTGCAGCCACTAAGGGACATTGCCTCAGTTTTGCTACAACTTGTCTCAAAATGAAATCAGTCCCCAACCTTCTCCAATACAATGTGCCAATGAAGTTTGAAAAAGATCCAAGAAATAATTTTTGAGTTATCTCGAGATATGTGAGAATGATGTGGCTGCACTTTTTTCGCTATCACTATGAGTCATTTTGGTGTCATTTTTCTCCAAATGTAGATCTTCATCAATGTAATCCAAATAGTAGTAAGATTCATCAAATACTTTTTGACTTACAACATACAATGATCAAATGCCACCTGCAGTAGCCATTTCCTTTGCTGAGACTAAGCAGCATTGCTTCAGTTTTGGGGTGATTTGTTTTGATATTTGAACGGTTCCGGTTCTTCACCCATACAATACAGGGAAATATAATTAAAGTGGACCGAGTGAAATCAGTTAGTTAATATATTCAACAGCTATTTGAGCTTAATTTATTCCAGGCCTAATCAGAATGGTAAATGTTGTATATATTTCCTTTGCTATTGGTCTAAACACCTGATAATTCCACTACCTAGCACTCTGCATGAATGTTCTGCAAACATTTATTGTGTTCCTTCAGACTTTGGAAATGATTAAATCTCTAGACAGATTGCACCAAAACTGAAGTAGTGTCACTTAGTGGTGGAACATGAAAGGAGAGCCATAGATCTGGTGAACCTGATTACAGTGATGCAAGTCAAACAAAGTTGAGCTTTTAATAAAGATTTTTTGGAGAGCTGGGGAGAATGTGTAGTTGGGCTACAAATTGTAAAGGTAGGGGCATGTGGTGGGGAATTAGATGACAGAATCTATTTTTGAAATGGCATTTATATATATAATTGCACAAAACCTTTAACCACTTAATGCAACTTGAAATTTGAGCAAGGTGCTCATGTTCTTTTACTACAGGGTATTTCCACAAGCTCAATGCCCAGACTAGTCTTCATGCAGATGCTTTATTGAGTTCATTCAACACAGAACTATACAGAGTAGCTATAGGCATGTGAGCTCTGTACATGAAAGAGTTACACTGTAGTTCTCTCTTGTCCTTTCAGAAGCCTCTAGCAGCCTGAGCCGTGGGACACTTTTCTCCTCTTCCGGTAAGAACTGCTGACTTCAGAAGGCAGAACTGTTTCAATGTACTCTGGTTCTAATAGCCAGTCTCTTTCTTTATGTGGGGTAGTGGATGGAGACCCTCACTTCATTGTTCAGCTCCCCAGGCTCAATCACAGCCTGTGCTTCACCATAGATGGCCGAGCCAATGATGTTCTGAGGTTGCTAGAAGACCCAGAGAAAGGTATTGTGGGCCTAGTTCTATCAGGCAAAAATGTTATCAAAATGGCAGTCAGTCAGACTTGAGTGTATGTACTGAGTACATCTACCTGCGCCTTCATACTTAGGTGTCATAGTGGATGGACGATTGATGTGGGCTCCACCCAAACTGGGCTCTGAGGACCGTTCCAGAACCTATTTTGACCAGCTGAAGTTCTCCAAGCCTGTGGGATCGGCAGGTGGCTTGGTGGTTACAGTGACCATGGACTTAGTGGTGGTAGAGGGGGAAGGCCGTGAAGCTCTGCGCACTGATCAGCCCGGCTCCGTGCTGAGACGGGGTCTGAGAGTCACCGTGGACGCCAACCTGCGATGTTGGGTAGTGCTGGGACGTGGCCTGCGCTTCCTCGTGCTCCGCCATCATTACAAACACCCCACCTACCTTCAAATGGCACATCTGGGGTTTTACCTTGTGGACGGTCAGGGCCTGTCACCCCGTACACAGGGACTACTCGGTACGCCCTCATTTACTGATACTATATTTTGTCACAACAGAAACCTTTATACAGGTTTAAACCTTTACAAACCTGTAAACCTTTATATCTTTATATTTTGTTCAAGCGATTGAATAGGGGCCGTTTGCATAAATATACGTTTCTGCTTAAGTACATTCCTATGAATTATTTTTTATCAAATGGATTGCTTTCAGTCACCTCATTGATCTGTAAGGGCCCAACAGCTGCCCCCTGGCAGGTTTTTTCAGGTTAATAATAGCACCCATGTGCCATATTAATTCGACCCCTCCCCACCCGCAGGTCAGTTCCAGTATGCACATGTGGAGCTGGTGGGACCCACAGATGCCCAGGGTGCTGAGGCATGGCAGCACAATACCGCCAGGCTGCGGATGGGGGCATCTTGGATCAGCGTCTCCCTTCAGGACAAGACTCTAAAGGACTCCTTGAGTAAACAACATTTGGACATGTGCTGGGTGGTGGCCAGGGTGGATGTGGAGAAACTTCTGGGACACTCCTACAGTAGCTATGTGGTCAACCAACTCTGAAGCCCTACTTCACACTACTCCTATCACAATCACCAACAACAGTTTCATGGCAAGATTGCAAGAGAGGGGAAATCTTTATTTTTTGGGAAACGCCAAAAAGGACAAATGTGAGATGGCATAAAAAAATTAGTAGTGACCAAGTTTTGGACCAAGTGCGTGTGTGGGCCTTTGAAACACATGGTTGCTATCAAAACAAAGCATAGATTTATGATGACTTGCACATACTACTAAAGTTTAAATTAAGTAAATGTATGTAAAAAAAAAATTGGGAGCACCACGCTACCTAGTGTGCGTTGCACTATCGTTGCAACGGGAAAGCACTGTACTGCGTGACAGCACAATCATCCCCGCCTTGGATACATTCCTAGTCTCATTTTTAAAAGTCAGTGCGATTATAACATTCCTACATGTGAACATTTCGATGCATGACCTGTCTGTCGGAATGGTATCCAGTCCTCAGTCAGGGACAATCTGTACTGCTCTGCAAAGGCAAAACACAGTAATTGTGTAATTTATAAAAGTTATGACCCTTTTGGTCTCTTAGGCTTCATTTTATCTAAAAAATATCTTAGTTCAGCCATGCTCAGTTGTGAAAAATAAAAATCATCATTCATCTACCTACTGCACATATGGCTGGACAGTTAAAGAAAAAACTTTGAAACCCCTTTTCTGTTTCAGTGTCAGTGTAGTTACTGTGTTTTGCCTTTGAAGGAAAGTATGAGTTCAGATAAAGTCAATGGCTTTTCTCCTGGAAACTGCTTGCTTGTCAGCTATGAACACCTGTATATTCTGTATTTTCATGTTCCTCAACATCCACCAAGATATTCGGTTTTTCACATGTTCTCTGTATTTGTTTAATAATATTTCTTTCTAGTTTCAAACAAAATACAAATTGCAAAGGGCCTCTACAATACTGAATTACTATGCTGTATGTTTTCTGAGAACATCCCCAAGCTGTTTGACTTGATTTGAGTATTTAAGTGTGTATATTGATATTATATTTTAGTATACAGTATTTCTATATTGCATGTCCAGTTCTGGGTCGCAGGGGTCTGGGGACTATCCTGGAAGCAGCGGGCCCTGGTACACACACCATTCACACACACCATTCACACACACATTCACACACACCATTCACACACACCATTCACACATCATTCACACACCATTCACACACACCATTCACACACACATTCACACCTACTGTATAGACAATCTGTCAATTCCAATTCACCTTAGCATGTGAGGGAAAACCGGAGAACCTGGAGGAAACCCTACAACAGCACGGGGAGATCATGCAAACTCCACACACATAGAGCCGGGGCAGGGAATCAGACCCTGGTCTCCAGATATTTAAGGTTGTAAATATATTTCCCTTTATAAAATGTTCATTCTGGATGTATCATAATTGTCAACACCATGAACACAGTTTCCTTTCCTACTTCTCAAAACACCATTTAACACAATATCTTGTAAAGTCACTGCAGCACTTTCAGTTTGCCGTGTGCCATCTTTTATTTATTTGTAGTTCATTTGTTGCACAAGATATTATGTACTGTTTACATATTAGTGTTCCAATTAAGACCACAAGCCAGGTAATCGACAGCATAATAAATACGGTAAGTTACAACAGATCTAAAGAGAGGTTTCAGTTGTTGTGTATTCTATATTATCTGTCAAAAGAGTGAAGCAAAATGGACACTGGACACATTACAAAGGCATTTGTTTCAAATTAAATAAATATAAAGGGGGTATGATATGTAGCTGAAGAATAATAAAGAATCAGCTTAATCCATTAAGTAAAACCATAGTATTCCAGTTTCATGGAATGCAAGTCACTGAAACCAATTAATTCGTGCAATACAGTAAAGATATCCTGTTTTTAGTTTATGACTGTTGTACCTTCAATTAGAGGATAGGCTCAGGTGGAGATGGAGGCATTGTCCATTGTCACTTCTCATGGAGGAATAAAATTGCTGCTCATTCATCCTATACACTAGACTCAATGTGCAACAGTCATCTGGGTAGGTTATAACCTTTTCTGTCTGGATATCACACTGTTACTATATTTAAGGCCAGGTGATGAGGTACGGAATCCACCAATCAAAATGATAGCAATTTCAGCCCTCAGACCAATGCATCCTGCCCAGGAGTTCAGGCCATGGACATTGGTGTATTAGAGCGACATTAATAAATTCTGGAAAAATAGGATGGACCCTTCCTTGACTAATATTGTTTTGCAACTAAGCCCATTGCATTTCTTAACTTTCTTAAGACTTTCTTAAGTGAAGTTTAGCCCTGTCTTTTTGCAGGTAGAAAATGTGGAAGAAATTGGGAGAAACAGGCCTGGGACTTGTTTCCAGAGCCAAACCACAGGGACTGATCCCCCCACAGGGTCATATACAGGAAAACAAATTCAGGGTTTTACTAGAATTTTGCACAACTAACCATCTGTACCTCAAAAGCTCTGTGAGCTTCTGAAATAGAAAAAAATCCCAAGCAATCTTCAGAACGACCTGCTCTTATTTGCCTTGCTTCAAAACTCTTCAACATTAATATATAAACCAGTGTTTCAACAAAGATGATGTTGCCCTTGTTACGCTTCATCAAACACGTCTTAACACTGAAAATATATCATTAATAAATTACAAGTTAATAAATGAAATATATACTGGTAATGTGGTTTATGCCTCAGTTACACTTGCCCATCCACAATATATTTAAAAATCATTGGCCCCAATGCTTTCGGTAGCACTTTACATTAACTGCACCTCCATAATGCATTTATTATGCACTCATACAACATTTAATGCACCTTCGTAATGCGTTCATAATGTATTCATGGAACATTCATGAGCAGCATGTACATATACCTTAACATCCTAACATACCTTAGCAGCTTTAATATACATTCATAATAAACATTATATGATTATACAACAATGTTCTGTGGAATGCATAGTACAGGTGCAGTTAATGTAAAGCATTACCATACTTCCTATACATGCCTTCAGCTTGTAATTTTGCCCACAGATGAAAAAATGAGACTACTCATATTTTACTGTCCTCTATCACACCTCTCTTTCTCTCCTGAATAGTTGTCTTGTATGCCTTCAACCTGAAATTCATCCACACCAGTTAAAATAATACAAAATTAAACAATATAATTTCAAAAGTTCCCAAAGTCTCTCTGTGTCTGTTTTTTAAATAAAAACAAAATATTGAGCTTAGATTCCAGAAATAACTGAGCTTAGATTCCTTAAACAAGTTCTCTTGTTGGGGGTTGCCAGTTAGCTTGTTCCTTACTGCTAGAAAGAGGAAAGCATTTCAAAGTAGATGGACTAGTAGGCCATTTGTAGAGATATACATTTTAAAACATCCTCTCCTCTGGTCTTACATTTTCAAAGAAGGTATAAATGCATATTGAAATCACAGAGATATTGACAGTGTTTAATAAGACTGAGAACGCAGGGTTGACTGGAATGATCAATAGCAGCTATTTTAACAAAATGTAAAGAAGGCACACTGCCAGGATGCAATTTTCCCTCAATTTATGACACTGATCAGTTATTCCTGGTTTCTGTCATTTTATACCTCTGCCCGTTGCATTACATTGGAGTATTATGGTAAAAGTACAATGTTACCACCAAGTAAACTGTACTTGATCCAGTGTTTGCGATCAAAAATGTATCCAAATGTCATTGTGGTTTTAGATGAACAGTAAAGGCAAATATCAGTTATCCAGACTTTTACTGTTATTTGTCTGCAAGGCAGCCTGTGTAAAAGTGTCAACCCTGCATTTCGGAGTCATTGTGTGATACAGAGGAAGTAAGAGAAGGATATGTACTGTATATGTGTGTGTATGCAATGCACCCAGGATTAGAAGACAGAGGTAAACCAGATGGACTTGTGAAGTTGAAGGTCCTTCCATGTCCTCTCTCCACACCCCAGGCTCTACCCCTCTCCCTAACCCTCCCTAACCTTGCCTTACCCTCTCCCAGCAGCCATCACCACTCTTCACTGTTCATCTTCCCCAAACACGTCGTTCTGTTTGCGCTTCATGTTCTCAAAGTCAAAATCACTGCCTGTCATACGCTTATAGACGTCCTTGATGTCATTGCAGGTCGTCTCAAAGTGGGTAGTGGCATCATATGCCCGGGACACAAATATCTGTGCAGAGCAATATTATGACATAAGAAACACTTCACAGTTCCTGAGTTACCCATTGGTTTATAGTACTTGAAATACGTACACATATAACCTGTGATTTAAAGTACGCATGCATCAGACCTTCTGTAAGATGTAAGATTGGACTGTATATACAGTAAATCCATCTACTGCTATGAAGGAATTCACATTTATGACTATCTATCAACAAATGTCTGACCAGGTCCACTAGGTCCCACCTCCTAAATCTATAGCCATGTCTACAAGTACACAGGCTCAAATTAGAACTGACCTGACTTTCTGTGCCATCGTCAGTGGGCTCAAGAAGGTCGCTGATGGCCACAAACCTACAGACGCAAGCAGACAAGCAGAGTTTGGACGAGCTTCCCGGTGAGATATTACACTGCACTCGCAATTTTGCCTGCTCTATTGCAAACTCTAGGACTCAAAACGAGATAATATTTGATTACTGGTAATTATTGATTATTATATTGATTTTAGGTTGTGATAACATCTAAGTAACACTTAACTGTTTACAGAAAATATTAATGCTGGTGGTACAACTCTGAACTGGTAGTGGGGTAGGCTAGTGGAAGAAATAAAGGACAGACTAACTTCTGGTCAATGGGTTCCAAGAGCTCCAAAGCAGGTTCGATTTCAGCCTCTGGCTCATTGGTCTCTACCGTGGTGCTGACAATGGCGATGTACTTCCCCTGGGCCGCCACATTGTGGGCGTAGGAGATCATGCAGACATAGATGTCTGTCGGTGAGAGACACAGAGAATTGGACAGTGTGCTTACACAAGTTTGACTTTGGGTCCTAAAAATCAAAAACTCCCTCTGTCTAGAGGTTAATTAGCCTAAGAATCTCCATTCAAATCTTAAAAAATAACCTTTCAGGATTGTGGTGAGCGATACGTAGGAGGTGTAAAGCCGCTGAAGAGAAGAAAAAAAATCACTAATTTTGACATTACAGTCAAAATTTTGAAATTATAATCTAAAAAAAACAAAAGTTGAAATAAACTTTCAAGCAAAAGCCAGAAGCCTGGTTGCATCCTGCAATCCCTCTTTGCAGAGCCAGGAGAAGCTATAAAATTCACATTCTATTTAAAGTTCAATCTCAAAAGTTTATTTTGATTATTTTAATCTTGACAGGTTATTTTGACTTTAATCTACAAAGTGTATTTCCACCACAATCTTGAAGGTTTATTTCCACTTTAATTTCAAAACATTTGACTTTAATCTCAAAACTTTTGACTCAAAATGTTTTACATTTTTTCCCATGAGGTGGCCTTTATACTTTTCCATATATCAAGAATCTGTCTTAGGAAATAAAAAAATGGAACAATAATTTTTAGAACAGTATAATTTAAAGCTAAAAAATACTAACTTAAATACTGTTTTGGTGCAACCCTATCTCCAAAAAAGTTGGGACACAGTGCAAAGATTTGTAAATCATATAAACCCATATTTAACTGAAAACAGAACAAAGACAATGCATCAAATGTTGAAACTGAGAAAAAAAAATTGTTTTATGACAAATATAGCTCAGTTTGAATTTGATGAAGGCAACACATTTCAAAAAAGTTGGGAGAGGGGCAAAAAAAGGCTGGAGAAGTTGTGTGATGTTAAAACATTATCTCAAAACTAATTAGATTAACTGGCAACAGGTCAATAAGATGATTGGGTACAAAAAAAGCCTTCCAGAGAGGCAGAGTCTCTGTGCAGTGAAGATGGTGAGAAAATTACCATTCTGTGCAAGACTGCATGGTGAAATTGTGCAACAGTTCATGGATACTGTTCCTTATTGTAATATTGCAAAGAATTTGGGAATTTCATCATCTACGGTACTCTGTAGCCCTGGCCAATACACGTTGTCAGATGGATGGAAGGACGAAGCTACATTAAAATTAATAAGCATTATGTGTATTGTTTTGGCTTTATATACTGAAATCAGCTTATTAAACAGGACTCACCTGAATTTCGGTTTACTTGGTTCTGGGGGATGATAATCTGGCAGGAATTGGCATCGTTAGTGTTTTTTATGGGGTGGCTAAGCACACAGATGACACGGATGACCTGGCCAGACTTGCGAACCCGGTCCGGAATGTAACTGGGGTCACAGATCAACTGCTTACATCGTGCAACCTGCAGAAAAAAGACAGAAGGAAAATGTCCTAAAAAAACATTGGTCCTCTATGGTATCATTTATGTGATTTATTAAACTAATAATTCTCAGAGAAATAGTGTTCCTATATTTTGAGGAAAGATGCCGCTCCTCATACGGATGCTTCATGTATAATACAAAAAATTGCTGCTAGCAATTATAGAACTGAAATGAGAGGCAGAAAATACACATATAGAGTAAATATATAATGGTCACAAATTAATTTAAAAATAGATCCTGAAACGCTTTGTCATATCCATTCATCCAT